TTTTGAAAAGTTGCATAAAAATCTTCAAAAACCGACGAGCTAATTCGAAAAACATAAAATGTTAATGCTTCCCGGACAAGATTTTCGCAACATTTGGTATGAAATTTTTTAAAAGTGGACTAAAAATAATCAAAAATTCTGGGTTATAGATCTTGACAAACTGATTTGAATAACATAAAGTGTCAATGGTCCCGGGTCAAGAATTTTGAAAAATTCGATTTAAAAAGGAATTTTTTTGGATACATATTTGAAAATCTCAGAAAATGTTCAAAATTTACACGCGAGGGGCATTGAAAAATTGAAAATTTTGAAAAGTGCTGAACAATCCTCAAAAAATGGTGGAAGATAAGATCTCGACGAACTGATTCTCGAAACATAACCCGTTAATGGTTCCGGACTAAGATTGTCGAAAAATTTAGTTTAAAAATGAAATTGTTTAAAAACTGTGTCTAAAAATCCTCAAAAAATATTGAAATATAGATCTTGAGGAGTCGATTTGAAAAACATAAAGTGTTTTTGTGAATTTCGAGAAAAAATCGATTTGAAAATAAATATTTTAAAATGCCTTTAACTCTCTGAAAACGGCCAAAAAATTCATATGCAGGGGGTAATAAAAAATTGTTGGATATAGATTTCGACGAGCTGTTTCGAAAAACATAACCTATTAATGGTTGTGAATTCAGTTATTGGAAAAATTTGGTATGAATTTTTTTAAAAAAATTTTAAGTTAACCAAAAATCCTCAATAATTTCGAGTTACCTATGTTTATAAGCTGATTCAAAAAACATAAAGTGCCAATGGTCCCTAGCTAAGAGTTTCGAAAAAGTCGATATGAAAATGTATTTTTTTTTTCAATATCTCGCAAATTATTATTTCAAAAATAACCCTGATGCGATATTTTTAACTTTTTCATTAATAAAAAATTTCAAACCAATTGGAACAGACTGTATTATAAATCCTAAGAAGGTGTCAATAAGAATTTATAAAAATTCCTAGGCATTCCTATAAATAAACTAAGTTTTGTGTTACGTATTAAAAATAGAACACTCTGTACAGCGCATTGTCATCAAAGAACCAAGTATATCTAATATTTTGAATGTGTTAGCTTCTGCTAGAGGTGCGAGCGAAATTCTAAATAATTTCATTCTTTAATCAAATAATAGTGTGGATTAAATTTTTAAACAACTTTTTTTCAAATTGTGTTTTAGCAAGAATGTGCGAACTTTGTAAATAGTCAATATTAAGTTTAATATTTGCCCCAAAAACACTGCAAACTTTCTAATAATCTATTATTAAAGTTTAATATAAAGTTTTTGTTCGAAAAGTAAACAATATAAAACAAATGTTGGTGCGGCAAACCAGAACACGCGTGGAAAAAAACTCCTTAACAAATACATACATTTTATTTACCAAAACTGTACAACACAAGTTTTAATTCCGAAAGTACCGCAGTTATAAATAAATATAAGGAATTGTATACAAATACAAGCTGTTGGAATGGATCTTTGCATTTAACCGCTTCGCTTTGCGCAAGGACGAAATGATATTCTGTGGCTTTGTAATTATCCTTGAAGCGAAAACGGCGCCGTTAGATTCGGAGGTCTTTCCCGGAATATTTATTCATAAAATTCTTTATACCAATAACCGCGGCGGCGGTTAACTTAAGAATAAAATATTGCGGAACTGTGCGTAATTAAAGTCACGTACTCGATCGATGGAATAAGCTGATAAAAATATTTGTAAAATTGGCAATATATTACGTCGGAGTGCCGAGAATTTAAAAAGTTTGTGTGTCCGCGGAATGCGAAAAAGGCAAATAAAGGATGTAACACGGTGTAGGACATCACATTGGGATAATTCCAAAAAAATGTGTTTTATATCACTTATAAAAGTTTTAAATGATTTATTGCTACAGTTTTAGTGTTCATAATTTTGATTACTACTACTTTTTACATTAGTACAACTTCTGTATTTCTTAGAATAAAATAATGTGCAAAACTGGATTGTATAGAATATATTTAAATATAATTATGTAATATCAAAGTATTTCCGAAAGCGTGGACTTTTTTTTAGGACAAGCCGATGCAAGTGCAAAAAACGGTGACAAAAAACAAAATGATAGAGATATTTAAATAAATTGAGTGAATAAGAAAACGGAATAACCGGATATACGAGGCAGTAATTACAAAAAGCAGTAAAACTATTCACATTTAACTGAAGGACAGCAAATACCTCGTCCATCTATAGTATATCATTAACTTTTAGTGAACATTGACATATTAATTTTATTGTTATCAAGACGCAACCAAAATTGCGGCCAAAGACACATTTGTCGATTAATATAAAATTTTCTACTAGAAATAAATATATTTTAATCAAGACAGACATGCAATAAGAAACCTGCATTTTCGTTTCCTAGAAGTTGTAAAACAACAAGAAACAGTAAAACAAGACATTCCTGGGAATAACTCTTTCACAGTGCACCAGAAACTAATAAATATGATCAGATTTTAAGAATATAACGAAGATTTTTTAACGAGAATTTTATTTTTTGATGCATGTTTTACAATTATACATGTCTCTGTTCGCATGAAAAGTATAAATTAAAAACTCATTCCGTGTGAAAGTACCATCTGAGGTCATGCCATTTGGTCGAATTACTTCCCAATTTTTTTATAATTGTTTACGTGTTTTATTTAAGCTTTTGTGTTAGACTCTGGGAGTTTTACAAGACTGCGTCCATTCTTTTTAAAATAATTAATGAAAATACGGCGACGTCGACCAAAATTATTAAATCTGTTTCGAAACGTTGGAAATGTTTAGAAAATAATTTCACCTGTTTAATAATTTGTGTGCAAACCCAATTTATTTTCTCTCTCCACACTCTGTGGCGTTTTTCCGAACTTAATTAGCTGAAATTTTTATTTTTAATGCTTTCGCGTATTTAGGTAATTAACGACTACAAATCTCATTAAAATCCATTTTTATGATGTTTTATTATGATTTAATATGTTTTATGAACTGAAATTGTTGGATATCGCGTAATTATCTTCAATGAACGCGAAATGTGTAACAAATCGCATCAAATACGCGAAAATACTTGACGTGTTACGAGTACTCGAGAAAATCATCGACCTTATAAAACGTTAACGTAATTCTATTAATAAAACGAAATTACGTGAATGGTTCTGCGAATATTTTGTGTACAAATGTCAGCAACAAGCCAACTAGTAAAAACAATAAAAAAGTACACGTGCATTTAAATAAGTTTTTTGTATAATACTCGTCATATTATTACCATGAGGCGACACTTTGGCACGTGTTTTTAAATTGATTCAAAAGTGGAAAAGACGTATTTTTCGGAAGATCATCTTGTTAAGTTTAGATTTCGTCTCAGTGTGTAACAATTCGGCAAAATCAATATAAATATTTTTGGAGATAACCAGACGACTGTGAAACGTAGTAGCAAACTTGAATTAATTAGTCGTCATTCCTTACTTATATTTATACCGTGTAAATAAGCACAGATCATGGCACTTAGTTATTATTATTAGTTTTAACAACAAGCTGCATTAAGTAGGTTATGTCAACTCCATACACTTATTCAAAAATATTCAGCCAATTTAAACTTTACTTAAGTAATGACTTAATCTTTAATCTCGAATCAAATTTTCAACTCGTTTAGCAGTGACAACACAGGTGCTGCTTCTGCGTGCTCGAACGTCCATAAAAATGTAAAGGAGCTAATTCTTCGATTAATCAATGTCGAATAATTTAAGAACAGACAAAACGGGTTTAAATATTTAACGTGCGATTTGTCTACAAATGCTAGTTTTCTCAACTGATGGAATTGACAAGCAGTTACACCTCCCATCAAAATTAGCAACATCGGTGACACAATTTTTCAGACGTTATTGATTGCATAGATCGTTTCGAAATCATGAAGCCGACATTATGCATCGAGACAATCCTTTAAAAATTTCATAACTTAAGTACGTGATTTACTTAGAATCAACACAGTGCAGAAAAGTAAATAATGTTAAGTGACAACGAAGCTGCAGCTTTCTGGCGATTTATCGGCGTTGGGTGCATTGGGACCGAATTTTATAAATTATTTAGTTGAGAGGCGAAGCCTCACATAAATTATTATTATCTATTGATGAAAATATCGACTCGGCAAAGCGGAGGCGGCGTTCGTCTTAACTACTGAGATTTATGGGTGGCAGGATTTTTGTAATTTACGATAGAAATCTTAAGCGTGATGATGTGACTTTGGGAACAGTTTTAATAAGATATTGTAGATACCATGTCCAGTAATTGCTCATGACATTTGATTTTCTCACGGATACCGAATTCTTTTACCACCTTTCATGAAGCGCTCAAAGAAAACAGTAATTTGTTTAATGTCAATACACAAAAAGAATGATGCATAATTAAACACACTATTTTACAGAATCAATATACCAGTTAACTACCTTCAAAGATATTTACACTTTTACTTTCGGTGTTATTAATACAGATTATCCAATGTTTATCACAGTGTTATGATATAATATGTTAATTTAGTAATTTGTTCGTAACGTTTTAATGTACGGTCTGAATAATGTTATAGCTCCTGTTAATCGATGTAAAGGGCAAGCATCTAAATCTCTCAAAAATACCTGGCTGAAGGATCTCGTGCTGTCACGAATTCATTACCTACCAAAGCGATGACTAATCAAACATTTGTATTGATCCGATTATTTTTTTTTAATGAAGCAGACGCCAGAATATCTAGGTAGCGTCTGCTTACGCTAGAGGAAACGTGGACAAAATAGGAAGCATCTTCAAATGTCACGAATTCGTAAAATGTATCCTTGTGCTCAAGAGGAATGTTAAAACACAGTTCGTGCAAACCGTAGCACACGTTTAATTACTTTGCAAAAATTCATGTTTGTCACATCTGAATCGATGATGCAACACGTCTTACATTTTTTTCAGGTGCAGTTAATTAGATTCCTTAGCCTTGAAATTTGGAGAAGAATCAACCTTGACAAGAAGATGAGAGTAACATTTTGTAAACACAATATAACTTCTATTACAACACAGCAGTTTGAGGAGCCCGTGATTAGTATAAATAAACCCGAGAAGGAGTGTCCACATCAAAGTGAATCTTCATCTCACTGATAACACACCAAACATGAAAACCGCCGTGAGTATAAAACAATCACCGCCGACCATCCCACAGCTCATTTATTTCCAGATCGTACTCTGTGCCATCGTGGCTTGCGCCGCCGCCGCCTCCGTGTCTTCACAGGATCCCATCCCGATCGTCAAGCAAGAGCAAGAAGTCAATTTCGATGGATCTTACCACTCATCTTACGAAACTGGAAACGGGATTTCAGCTTCGGAAGAGGGCACCGTAAAAAATGCCAACAACCCCGAAACTGCAGCTGCTGAAGTTACGGGCTCGTTCAAATACACCGGAGATGATGGAGTTGTGTATACGATCGAGTACGTTGCCAACGAAAATGGATTCCAGCCTAGGGGCGCCCATATTCCTGTAGCTCCCGAAATTCCCGCTGCCATTGCGAGGTCTTTGGAGTACAATGCTGCTCATCCCGAACCTGAAGAACCTGCTCGCAGGAAATTGTAAATGACTTTGGTAGAGACTGCTTTTTATACTGATGTACATATTAAAGTCACTTAACGTGAAATAAAAGAATGAAGTTGTACTACACGGTGTCGAACAATGTCTATCCATTTAATCCCCACAGTTCAAAATAGTTAACACTAACGTTCAACAAAGCATTCGTAATCGGTTTCTGAGCCTGGTTTATAGTGAACTGCAAAAGTTAAGTTATTAAAGTGGGACTTTTATGATTCCACTTCGAGATTAAAATCTGGTGGCGACTATTAAACAGTCATTTCCAAAAAAAGTCGAATTAATTCTATCGTAAAATTTGGCAAAAACGATAAGAACATTCCAATATTTTAAAATAACGAACAACTAGTTATGTGTGAGTTAAGAATGCACATTTCCACTCCAAGGGCTGTTAGCTTACGTAAAACGTTACCATTTGTAAGAAGTCAGAGCTGGTAGAGCGGAAATACTTTGAGAAATATACTACAAAATACCAATAAAACGACTCAGTTGACTCAAAGCCGTCCGGACGGGTCCACTTGTAAATCTTGGAGGGAGGAACCATTGATGGCTTTTGTCACTGTATTTCGTGATTTAACCTAACAGTGTTTCGTTTTTTTCTTTTCGTAGTTTATGAATGATTTTCTGATACTTTGACTGACTGTATTAACTCTTTTTATATCTCCACTCCAGATATGTGTCGCATTTCATGGCAGAAGGTCGAACAAGCCAGTACAGTTCCTACACTTCATCAGTACCTAGTAAAATTTTACAACCGCTACTTTGGGGGATTATCGGACAATGCAGGGGGGTAATGACGCCAATAAAAAGAGCGTGCCGCCAGTGTATAGTGGGCTAGAAACATCCAGGGTTGCATTGAATTTGTGATTTAATGTTTTGTGGATCTAACCTTCATGGTTAACTTTGAAATACCAATAAAATTTTATTAGATACTGATGTAGTATACTTACTGCACATAGGTGAAATATTGTATAACTGTGAAAAGCGATTGTTAATTCTTCAAACATTCTGAGCACGAATCTTCGAAAAATATAGATCAAGAGAAATCTTGCCTTAAAAAATGTATTTCATATCAAACAAATCCAGTTTTTAGGAAAAAAAAATAGTCGCAGTGTAAGAAAAAAAAGTGACTCATGGGGAGCTCGAACCTGCGACTTTCATCTTATTAGCACTACGCTCTAATCGACTCAACGTTCCTCTTATGTTACTAAAAAATGTTGCAATATGATTTTAATTTTTATTGTGAAAACCGTCCAACCTCGGGTGTCATTTGGTAGCGATGCCAGCTAAATTTTATTTTTATGTATTAGTCTGTGCCTCTGACATTTCTGGCAACTGAAAAGATTAATGAATAAATAATAAAAATAAATTATTATTTCCAAATACTTTTGTTAAATCTAAATATGAAGACAAATAACACAATACAAAACGTTTAATAATAATTATAAAATCATATGTGATTTTACGTTTTCGTGTGATGAATATGTGATGTGTGAAATGAGAATTGAGATGTGCGAAATGAAATTTGAGGTGGGAAATGAGATATGTGAAATGAGCAACGAGATGTGTGAAATGAAAATGAGATGTGTGAAATGAGAAATTAGATGTGGGAAATGAAAAATGAGATGTGTAAAATGAGAATCGAGATGTACAAAATGAAATATGACTCTGCCCTAAAATAAGATATGCGAAATGAAAATTGAGGTGTGTGAAATGAAACATGAGATGTGCGAAATGAAGAATGAGGTGAGTATTTGGAAGAGATAACAACAACAGGTAGAAAAAGACTCTATCACAAAGCAAGCAAGGTTAAAAATTGTCTCGAAACTTATTAAGGCCAGTCACCATGTTTACCTCTTATGGGGTTTTCAATGCATTTTTAGAAAATGATATATCCATTATTAACAGACTTATTGATATGAAATTTTAAATAAAACCTGTCCACAACATTTTACCGGATCTTATATAAACGTGTTGACTGGCTTTAAGGCAGATTCATAAATCACAAGTACAGGAATATGTTATTTTATAAAACTGAAACAGCATTTACCACGAAACTTTGGTGTTAACGTTTTACCATGTATACGACATTGCTAAAATACGTAGCATTATTAGCACAAAATCTAAGTAGGAAGTAACATAAAATATAATTTAGTTTACTTAAATTAGATATTAAGATATGTTGTTTCGATTTCTATCAAAAATCAAACACAAAGGATCGCTAGATTCTCATTTAATTCTCTCAAATTTTTGAAACCGCGTAATGTTTTGATGAATTTTACGTTGTATCTATCAAAATTAACATATTTCTCCTGCAAAAATTGATGATGACATTATAAAAAAATTATCACATAAAGCTTTATTGAAAAATTAGCCTTGACATGCATGCGGTATTCGTCGTATCTCAGAGAGCAGGAATTCTACGTGAATAATTAAACTTTTGTTAGATTTGGTTGTTCAGTTTTTTGTTTTTAAATTTTTAAAGATGGTTGTTTAGTTTTTTTTCATTGTTTGACAGTTTTTCTGCACATTTTACTAAATTATGCACATATTTACAAAAAGACGTCATTGTGACTGTAAATACGTGAGGAATGCAATTTTGCACTATTATTGAAGTGATTAATTAAAAAAACAAACAAAGACAAATATGTGGTCAGAGACATATTTTCTTCTAGTCGATGGAGTTATGACGATATAAATTTCAGCGCATAAAAATGTGCAGCTTGATTACTGGGTTAGAATTGCAATTACGACTTTCTTAATCATTTTTACCGTGTTTGGTAATAAGGTTTTAGAAATTACCACTTGAGTCTCGGATTACTTTTCACTTTTTTCGATCTTTTTAATTACTGGACTGAAATTAAAACCAGCTTTGATGTAATTCTTCATTTCGTATTTAATCAGATTATAAATCCAACCTTCAAAGAATCGAAAAAGAACAAACATGGAGAAAACGGATCTAACTCATTAATAATTTTAATTAATAACTGCAATGTCGGCTTGAAAATGGGAAAAGAGACCGTAAGTATGCTGGACGAACCGCATATTATGCAGGGTTTTCCAAGTTTTTTTTTAAACAGATCCATATTTATTTTAGTTTTTTATATTTATATGCAGAACATCGTAACTACAAGCTAATTACTTACGAAAGATATTTCCAAATGAACATTCATTAAGTAGTGTACAAGTATAATTTTCGACAAGCTTTTCTGAATAGGAAGTTCTTAATTTTGATCGACAAGATATGTTCAAATTAATTAATATATTCATTAAATAAATAATAATAATTATAACTGGGTTACTAAATAATAGTTATCTAGAATACTGTGAAAAATTTCAACTCTATGGTTTAAGGATAGGCAACCTAATATACATGGCTACTGTACTGAAGTTAGCTGCAGATTTGAATGTGAATCTAACTTCAGCGACGTGATTTAAATAACTTTCCCAGCAATGAATAATTCAAATAGTTTACACCAAAAACAGTGTGTTCATATTTTTCTAATTGTATAAAATACGTGCGGCTGGATTATAAAGTAGATGAATTTAATATTATTAAAGTGTGATTAACCTGTTAATCTGAAAATTGTAGTGGTTGAATTTGCTCACGTGATCCATTAACTGCATATACGTTGTTATGTATCTGTTTTTGAACCCTATATGTATGAATAAAAAAAGGTAAAATATTTTAATATTAATTTATTATGTATAAATGATACCCAAGCAATACACAACGTATTAATAATAGAATAATAATAATATGGCAAATAGGTATTTATTTATAACGTCACTAATCGTGTTGATCTTATTGCACCTACCTCTAATTAAACAAGGACAATAAAAACTTAACATAACCCTAACTTAAATATTAGGAACATTTTAATTACAAACAAAGAGAACGTTACACATTTAACGATAAAAATCTCAAAAATAAAAATTCTTCACATCTTTTCGATTTTAAGTACAACATAAATAAGAATTGTAAAAAATAAAGAAATGCAAATAATGAAAGGACACAGGGGTATTTTAGGTATACCTATCAGTTTATATACTCTTACACATACACCTATTTCATATAATAATATAGTGTATATACGATTCTGCCGTTTAGCAAAACTATATTTCGGTGTCAACGGTTCACTACGCTATATAAAAGTTACAAGTTATTTGTTTTTAAATGTATTTTCACCTCTCGTAAAGGGAGTTATGTTAGGAACTCTGTTCAGCCTCATATCGTTAGATGTTTCTAACGATCAGCTGTTAAATTATTTTCTGAAGGCACCCAGTCCCTCAACAATAAACACATTTCACATAATATTCAGACCCTACATATTATAGTTTAATAAAATATTAAACATCTCAATAATACAACGAAAGAGAATCGTGAGTGAGTAGGAATACGGGACTATCTGAAGGCTTAGTTGCTGTTGTCGATTAAAAAAATATTGTTGAGGAACCGTACTAAATTAGGAACCATTACTCCGGTTTATTTGCATTTCTTAACGACTGCTGTAGAGTCCTATATATAAAACACAAAACTTTTTGCAATTTGCTGCGGACAATAAATTGCAAAAAGGTCTTCCTAATATATGGCACTGCACACTTATATAAGCTCGCCATAAGTCCCGTAAGGATTTCTCACAAATACTTAACATCATTTCTTGCAAATTCTATAAAACAACTGTATGTACACGTCTAAGCTTAAAAATTAAAAATATTTTTTGATATTTTGTTTTTTTTTCTTTAAGTACAAAAAATACCAGTATTATTGGAGAGAGATCTGCAATGTCATTTCTGAGTTTTTAATACGTGTCACGTGAGGTAAGTCTCACTAATCATAAAAATGAGGTAGGTAACGTGAAAAAACAACAATATCAAAATAATACTACATCACAACGGCATTAAATTAATGAGACATCTTCAACACCCCTCATCCTGCAGCCTTGAGAATTCAACGATTACTGTTAAAAAATCGAGAAGAAAAAAATGAGAGAAAACAGAACTGCAGAAAGTGGATGGCTCCCTTATCGTATAGACCTTAATAATAATTATTTGCATTTTATTGGTATTAAATGAAAAATAAAAAATATGTACAGTAATGCTAATTTTAAAATTGAAACGTCACATAATTATAACGTGTTAACAAGAAATATGAGACTATTTACAATAACATACCTCAAAATCAATATTGTTATCTTCCGAAACAAAAAGCACCATAAAAATATTGTGTTCCTTCGTTCAATAAAGTCTAATTATGGAAGGAACAGTATTCAAGCTCATATTTGCTTAAACATTATCGTTTTGTCCTTAAACCGCTGCCATCAACAAGTGTGTGTATGTAATCCGGCATATTCACGAGCTTTTTGAAGCTATCGGTTTTATATACTTAAGTATTTTCACTGGGACCGAATATGCAGGCGATTTAAGGGCAAAACCCGAAGGTGCTTCCTCCTATGGTATACATCGAAGTATTTGCATTTAACAATATCTTCTATGCTATAGTTAATCTTATTCAATAATTAACAATGACCTCTATTCGAGTGCTATCGCTATTCTAGTTTCTTTAGTCTATTTACTATGCTTTGTCTTTGAACGTAAGCAAATACTTTCTATGAACATTTAACAATGATTACCACCGGGAAACAACGAACTACCAATCGAACTTGGCTTATAGCGACAAGCATGAATGCGAGGTATAAAAATAAGTACTTTCTGAGTCAAACTTACGAAATAAAAAAATGATTAAAAAATACTTATAAATAATACGAGTATACAACTATTGCAACAGTATATAAATAAATGGAAGAACTACTCAGTAAGTGATCGCGTTGCCTGTAATGCGCATGTCTTGTTAAGCTTATTATTGTTAAGTACGTGTGGACAACGAGTTCTGGGGAAGTCGAACTGGAAGTCTAAATTCTAATAAAGAAGCACTATTATTCTCACTTAACCTAGTGACTGATGATACAATGAAGCTATATGAATAATCCTAGAAAATGACTTGATGATACCTGATTATTTGCTATTATTTACCTGACGAATTATCACTGATCATGACTAATCAAGAATGTAAAAAATAATTTGATACTGATAAATTGTTGGCAAGAATCTGAGAAAAATCCCTGAACTGTGAGATTCTTTTGTTAAACGAAACGGCACACAAAGAAAGTGATACGGAAATTTGTACTTCGGTAAGAATGATATTGGAGTATCCTGAGTGATGAACATGAGTTTACATATGTATATGTACACATGTCTATATAGTATTTGATTGTTATATAGCTACGAATTGCTTATAACGGGAAGCATACGAACATATGTGGAAGCATTCTATAAAATAAAGTAAATCTCAAAAAGTTGTAACATTTCAGTATTTCTTCTTTTTTTTAAAGTTACGTACAAAAATATTGATGTAAAGGCAAAAACGCTTTGTACCATTTTCACCTGAATTGAATGTATGTATACATGTTGCGATAAACATATTTAATAAGTAGATACGAAACGTGAAAATGAGTAGACACTATTAAACATGTTTATACGTGGACCATGGTTCTGAGCACGGCAGTACAGACTTGACAAAATCTTTCTTTATGGAAGTATCGGTTGCATAGTAACTAAGTTATATAGGAACACGTAAAATTCTATAGGTAGTGATATTGATCCGACCTGAGTTGGAGGTAATTGGATTAAAACATTTTGTTAAATCTGGGCTTGCGTGCCGTATCGAAACTGAAATGTACGGACCCGTTGCGAAAATAATTCAGGTCTAAATCGCAAGTATAACAACCCGGCAAGATAGTCTAATGCAGTACGAACCTACACAACAGCCTACTGAAACACCGATTTAAGTTATCTTATAACTGCAACGTAGTCCAATATAAACTTTATACTATTTTTTTTTCTAAATTACCGTATACACTTGAAAACCCTTATTATCTTGCACTCGTAACCTATACTATCTTTGAGGTAGACGGATGGAATTTTTAGTATTATTATAGCGGCAGCCCGCTATAAAAGGAAATGTAAGTAATAAATATCTATAATGAGATAAAAACTGAGGTAGTTGGATGGAATAAATGAGTATTAAGTTGGATGATACTTGGCAAGAGTGGCGGCGACTGATTCCTCGAACATATACAACTAACAGTTTTCGTTTTCATTCTTCCATCCTATACACTATTCCCCCGCTTTGACCGCTTCCGGCTCCGCTTCGTCCTCACTATAGTCCTCCTCCTCGCCCCCGGAGGACTCCGCCTCCTCGTTCTCTTTCTCCCGCTCCCTCTCGTGATTCACCATCTCCGCGTCACCCCGCCTGATCTCGTCGCTCCGCTTCAACATCATCTCGTTGGCGCTCTGCATCTGCTGCTGCATCTTCTCCAGGAAGTGCTGCTGCGAGGCCTTGTCCAGCCCCATGGCGTTCAGTTGCGCCAGCTTGGCGGCGTGCACTGCCGCCGCCGCCTGCTCGGAGGACATCATCCCCATACCCAAGCTGTTCTCTGTGATGAACTGCAGGTAGGTGTCGAGGATGGCCGAGCCCGTCGAATTGGCCCCCGACACCGGCGGCGGCAGGGGCGCGGGATACGGCTCTTTCGACAGATTGTGAGCTAGAGAGTCTACGCTTTTGGCGGCCACCGCCTGGCCCGTCGAGTTAAACCTGTTCAGTTTAAAGTTAGAATTCTGCGGGTGGAGAGGGGGTGATAGCGCTAGGTCTAACCCTCCATACCTTTGGTGCGAGATTGTCAGGTCTTCGGGGTCGTTGTCGCCGCATATCGAGCTGCCCGCCTCGGACGCCGCCCCTGAGTAGGCGCTTTTCGCGTCCAACTTGACGTCGGAGCGGCGGGGGCCCGTGGGGGAGGCGCGCGCTCGCAGCTCGGCGGGACTTATTTTCACACCGGCCTTCGCTAGCAATCTACAAGAAAAAAATACGGTCAACAAAAGGACTACATAAAAATGCAAAAATTCAACTGCATTGAAATTACTCTTATGACAAAGGGACGGAAAACGTGGCGTTAAAATAAAACAGTTCTATTGTCTGAAAAAGTGAGATTTCGTCAAAATCGTAACGGAGTTGCTCTTGTTTAGGTCGTCGTAACGCAGAGTTTGGACATCTCATGATAAACAATTTTTAGCCATAAGATCTTGGATCTAATACTGAAGTTAGTCACCATGAACACCTGTTTGTAATTGAGGACAATCATCATCCTGCAATCTCTATGATCTTTGGAGTAAATATCATTTCCATCTTCTCAAAATATCATTTTTAACAAGGCTAATTGTAGTATCTAGATAATATTTCTAATATGAATTAGTCTTTTTTCGTTTGTATTCAACAAACATGTATATCTAGAGGAATTTAAAAGATGGCGCCACCTCTGCAAATTCTGTCAGTCTCTTCAGGGTAATTCAAAGGAAATATTTACATATGAATCGAGACACAACACTAATTTCTTAGCTATATCTGATCCGTTTTGAGCACTCTAAATGCCTAGATGCGGTTGTATTACAAACTTTGTATCAAATTTTAACGCTGATTTCTTTAAATCACAAAGGATATCTAGGGAAAAAATGTAGACTCTAGAAGCTAAATTTATCATCGAAGCCTATTCTCGGTCTCACCAAGAGATTCTACCACCAAAAACTGTATATTTCCGGAATGTACCTAATATTTCCATTATTAACAGAGTTATTGCTACGAAATTTTAAATATATGTAACTTGTCCACAAATTTTTCTATATAACACAATGAAAGTTCATCATCATCATATTTTTAAATTTTGGTGAAATTTTTCATCATGTATTTTTAAAAATCAATGTCGTAGTTATTATTCATGGAAATTTCGGAACGCAGTTTTCGCTACTATTTTCAGCTTACAGAAATCTTGACACTATGTAAAAATCATTATCGACAAAATCTGACTCTGCTGGATCTCATTTCCTTTAAAAAAAGTCGATAATGTTTCTTGGATAATGTCTAGAGTTTTATAAACTGAAAGCAGTAGCGAAAACCGAAATTTTCACAAGTTAATAACTGAGATATCGATTTTTAAAAATACGTAATGAAAAATTTCACCAAAATACGAAAAAGATGATAAATTGTATAAAAATAAAAAAACTGCTGTTTTGTTATACACCGCAAGTTATGGGAAGGTTATATTTAAAATTTGGTATGAATAAGCCTGTTAATAATGGACTGCAAAAATAGGTTGGAAATCCCAATGTTTGGAAAATTAACAAATGACAACTTAACTATCAAATGCGCAAACCCACTCATGGTAACGTAGGTTTTATTATCAACGTAATGTCACCAAACACTAACTTAATATGAACTGCCAAGGCTGATTTTTGCTCGGCATTACTAAATTAATGATGTGTACGCATTGATTTGTTGATAGACGCATAAATCCGCTCCCCCCCCCCCCCCCCCATGAGCGCCCATGTGTGAAATGAAAAACTAAAAACTAACTTTTTTTCAGGAAAACGAGACAACTGGGTGTAGTTTCCACGTTCTCGTGATTATATGTATCTTCAAGGAATTCGTTTCAAGACTTCTGAAATGTGACTTTTTACAAATCTAATATCTCGGTTAATGGTATACGCTCCTATTAGGACACTTTCAAATTATAAACTGTTTGTGAAGAGGATTTAATAAAGATCATGGCAACTTTTTCGAATAAGGTAACAGCAGGTGATGACCAAACATCAGGCTTCCTGATTAGAGATGCAAGATATGTGTTGACTAAACCGCTATGCACCATATCAATTTAGCTCTCATTGACTTCTTTTGCTAGGATCATTTCAATCTATAACAAGGATATTTATGCAACTTGGATCAATAGCCGGACTTGTTGCCGGAAAATCTACATCACAAACATCAAAATGGATAAATAGTTCTAATCATTTATAACGACTTTTCAAACGCCTTCGATTGCGTAGAATTGTAGATCATAAACTTCTTTTAAAGAATACAACTTAGCTTCCTCAATGTGGTGCCATAGATTGTCAAACTTGTTGAGTCGAATAATGATAACATATTTAAAGAGTGCGTTGCAACATCCGGGGTACGTCAAGGCTCAAGTCTTAGACTTGAATCAATTCTTACTTTCTCAACCAACAGAGTGCCATAAACACTTCAGCTCAGAAATGTAGATGTGCGGCAAGCAATTAGAAGAATAATTTACCCAGATTTTATACGATTAGTTGGAACTGTAAAACCGGAGCCTGCTGGCAATAACCGGAATATTACAGCCACTGTCGCTGAATTTGTTTCTATTGATTTATAACGTACCCCTTAGGAACAATATATAATATTTATAACAAATATTTATGAAGTGCGTCTTGGTCACATTTTCCCCTACAAATCACTAGCAACAAACGTGGAAATATAAACAATTTAAATGCCACCAAAATCGATACGATATATTGGTCGCAAACAATGTTTTTCATTTTTAATGCTTCAATTTCTATACTAACTCTGCGACAGTGGAAATGTATTTGCCCAGGTCTCGTTTCTCACAGTACAAAGCGCTAAACATTCGATTAAAAAATTCCATATGACATGAATTATTTACGATTGCTGTGTACCTCCATAACTCTGTTTCATCCAGCAGTTACTTCTTATTATTTCCGAAGGAGAAACCGCATGGGAATGCATACTTTCGAAACAACGTGGCTGAAAAAAGTATGTCGAACTACAGAATCTATAGGGAATCTAAAATATTCTATACAAATGACTATTGCTCACTGGAAGAATGTTGGCGAGTTCAACGCATTTCCCTAAAGGTTAAAAGCAAGACTTTGCCTACACGAAAGTGCTCGAATTCAAATCATTTTTCATACAGGGTTTCCTTTGGTTAGTCGGAGTGAAAATCGTCTCTGAAGCGTAAATAAACAAATCGCCAATCAAGTATTAACTAATTTTAGTGTCCCATTAAAACCATTAAAAGAAAAAAAACTGAATAAAAAAAGCAACGACAAGACAACAATTTTGAATCGTGGATCGTTGGGTCAATTTAAGTATTGACCTCACGCAGAGTATTATACCTAGAGCTTTGGGAGTGAAATAAACTTATAGCAAAATTCGCTTGAAGCCGAGAGAGTTAAAATAGCGCCATAAGAAGCCATGTGGTCAATGACAAAGTACTGCCGAAGATAAACGAATCGCGTTCGGCAACACGACTACGTAGGTACACTCTACAGTATAAGACGAACGACAGAGAATTTAAAAACTTTCTCGGGGTGTGTTAATAAATATTTTGTGTACATTACCAATGGCAACTGCGGAAACCGAACGGTGGTTTTCCTATTTGAAGAGAAGTTTATTCAAGAAAGGTTAAAGCCCACCATTTTTCAAACACAAAAAAGAAGAATTGAGCTGAAATTTAAGGCGTTTGGAAAAGTAGAAGGTGGGTTTATAGAAGGTGTGTATAAAATGTATACGTAAATTGATCCTCCAGTACAGTAGAGTACGAGCCGCCACTGAAGCTGACCTTATTGGCGAAAAATATCCGCTTTTGTGTTAAGTTTGGCGGTTCCGGACCGTTTTTTCCTGTTTTATTAATTTTGAAAAATTCTGATACTCATAATGAAATGAATGAATGGCAGTTTTTTTATGTTTGTTTTAAACCAGTAAACCACCCACACAGTTACTATTTTTAATTCATAAATGACACAGACAATTCTTGTTTCCAATACACAAAAACAAACGTTTTTGCAACGTGTTAAACAATGAACTTTTTTATAAACCGTAATTATCCAGACTGTTTTCAAACAATGCTTTCAAGCAGGTAATACGCAATTCAACTACACTTCGATATCTGTGATATCATTCCCACGGTTATTACTTTAAATTCCTACTGACCCATAATGGAACATTCCAAGCGCTGACACCCCACTGACACTGATAGTTTCAAAGTCGACCTTATAATAATAACCCAGTAAACTGTTTTATTGTACATTTCTGATTTAAAAATTGCGACCACAAGCGCCAAACCTTGCCTCATTCAAGCAACCATTGTGCTTAGGGCCACTTATTTACCATTGTTCTCTGGTAATGCAAACAAGTACCCGTCAACTGACTAAAACGCTACATTTTTTCCGCTCCTTTTTGTATTTGACTTTCTCCATCGGTACAAAAGCATTACTATGAAATGCAAGACTGGTTGTTTTCTTTTGTTTCGGCGGCTTACCTGCTGGCTAGGTCCGGATCGAATGGGGCGGGCATGGGCAGAACTGGCAGGTCTTTTGTACTAATTCCTCTATGTTGTCGAGACATGTGCGAGTGAAGGGAATTTCGGGATTTCGCTACTGTTCCACATAACACACATCTATAACCAGGGCATATCGTATGTTTATCTTCTAAATGAGTTCGTAACGTGTGAGCTGACCGGTAGATTTTACCGCATTTCGGACAGGGTCTAGGGTCTGTCGCTCTGACTCTCATCATGTCCAGAGAACGCCTCGAAACTAGAAACAAAACAAATTTAATTACTTGTTTTACATCACAAAGTTTCAGAATCACAATTACACTTACAGGGTAAAGCTCGCCAGCAAAATAGCCAGTCTGACAAACGTAACCAAAAATGTGGCGCTTTCGAGTTTGGCGCACCAGAGTGCGTGCGACAAACACATAGCGACTTTTTACAGGACTCAAGTGACGAATGATTAAAAGCGTGTTTTTTTTTGGAAAATTTACTGGCAATCAAAATATCACTACATCTCGCGCAACTGGTAACTAATAAATATACAATACTTATGCAAGATTTAGTATCTACAATAACGCAAAGTCAAACATGTTAAATCTCTCTGTGATGCAAATTTCACTTTGACGCCGTTCAAAGTTCCTCTGAATTCTTTAGTCAATTCCCGTTTTACAACACTCGCAATTATCCCGTTTCGCACAGTTCTACAAGCTCCATTTAATTTGTTTCATAATATCCCACTGTTTGGAGTGCTTGCTTCTCATATGATTTCGTACAGAATTAGGATGTGAAAATCGCCTCCCGCACTCAGTCACAGGACACAAAGGACTGTCTCTAGGATAGTGTTCATCAATATGTGACCTCGCAGCGTTGATCGAAGGCAGAATCAGATCGCATAGAGGGCACTCGTACTTGATGGGTACTCCAGCTGGTTGTTCGGCCGCTGGATATCTTCCTGACCCGCTGGTGCTGGCATCTGGAATGCCAAATCTCGCTGCACTTTTAGTTGCATTTATGTGGTATTAATATAAATTACCAAATACAATAAGCAACAAACAAGACGGACTAACTAGGCTACGTCAAACCGCTCACAGAAAAACATCAAGTTCGGGATTCTGCTTACAAACATACAGACTTTTTACTTTCTCTAACGAAAAAATCTGCTTGAATACACAAATAATACATCGGATTAAGTGAATGGGTTTCTGATTTTACCGGTCTTGCTGAATCTACTCAATCAATAAATTCTAATTAATTGCAATTGGATTAAGTCGACCAATGAAGGCAAATTTGGAACTATATTGGATTAAGTACATTACGAAACATCAGTTTAAGTAAATCCGGTTTAGGCTTTAATTAGATTCTCCCAATATAGATTCAAGTAAGGACACATTTTGGTGAAAAGTTTCAAATTTATCCTGTCACTTTTCCTGTCGTTCATGAAACTAAACACTCTTAACTCTATCAAATTTGACTCATATACGTGTATTTTTTTTACAAATTATAAATTCTGAACTATATTATAACATGATTTGAGCACTCTGGAGGACTACTGAAGGAAAAATGCTCACAACAGGTTGTGGTATAGCTCGGAATTGATAAGTATTTTTAGGCAAAATTTGATGGTTTTCTTGATATTTGTGAACCCACTGGGTGCGAATAATCGCTAGAAAGAGTGAGAATAATTGTCAAAAGTTGTATTTTTGACATTTTTTAACGAATTCCGTGAAGCTACAGCCGCCAAAATATGGGAACAACCGCCAATCGTCTCCTTTTCCAAAAAAAGTCGATTTTATATAAAACAAGTGTGTCTAGGCCTTCATTATGGTCAAAATAGATCGCAATACAGCTCAAAATTGATAAATTTTCAGAAAACTGTATGTATTTCAATGTACACCAGCTTCAAAAAGGACACAGTGTACTGAAGAACACACGACTTGAGTGTGTTATCGTTTCGGGAAGACGGTCTACTGTAAAAGTTAATTTTTGTTTTTGTAAAAAAAACTTTAGGAGCATCGTGAAAATCCCTAGATCTGATGCTTTCCTGCGGCTTATTCAACGCAAAATTCCCCGGCTAGCTGTACTATGTGGGGGCGTATTGTCTCTGTCTGATCCCATGAGCTTGTAGCTGGTGGTTGATCAAATAGTGCTTGGTCTTGCACTTCTTTCCGCAAAAGTTGCAAACGATCCAGTTCTCCTGCGAGGTTTGAACGTGCACGTTTATGATGTGCTGTTTTAGGTTACTGGAGTTAGAGTAAAGCCTGCCGCAGTATTGACATTTGGGCTTCTCCTGCCAGGAACAATTAGACGCATTCGGCTGTGCCGCCCCTGTAACAACAGAGGCGGCATTAGTAAATAAGTTAGGAAAAATAACGTATCTGGACGAGTTCGTGTTTCCCTATTCTATATTGCACTTCCAATTACCAAATTGGCCATTATCCCTGCACAAGTCCGTTTCCTTTTTTTCCTATTCTTCCGTTTATTAGCCATAAATCCTTTTTAATAACTGCTTATCTGCTTCCTCGTATTTTTTATGGGGTTCCGCGCAAATGTAAAGTATGAGCTGCGAGCTGTTTAACGACCATTTTTATTTCCTACTCGCTCCATCTTGGGCATTACCACAATTACTCGATGCAACTTATTTTGATTTCAGTTTCGACATAAAAACGACGTCGTGTAATAAATTTCAGATGGTCTGAAGAGCTCGCTCGAGCAATGCTAAGTACATCCTTTAATTTAAAGTTATTAAAATAATGGAGGTCATAATTGGTTTGAATTGAAATCATTAAAGTAATTACTCTTTTTGAATCGTACAATTTTAAATTGAAAGCTAGATCTACATCGCGGCCTCACTTGTCTTTAGGCTAATAGTGGCGTGAGAAAAAACGACGCTTTTAGCATCCACAGCACCACAAGATTTTTTCTTCACGCCCTTGAACTTATAAACATACGAGAAAATGAGACGCTTTTGGCACTTTTTTACACGGAATTAATTGTCTGCATGGTACAAATCTCGCGCCTTACTGTTTTAGTCAGACCAGCCATTGGAGGTGAAATAGAATCTGAAGGAACGTTGCTATCAATCGATTGATTGTGTTTTTCGGTATCAGCTAATAAAGCTTTAATTAAAAATAGTAATATATAGCGCGGTAGGGGAGAGAGGGTCGCGTTGGCACTGCGATGAATGGTCGGATCGTCGCGGTTAGGCATTAAAATTTCTAATTTAGCGCCGAGCATAGTTGGTACGGTGCGATAAATCGTTACTTTAATGTAACTAAAAATATAAGTGACCTATAAACGGCATCTAGCAAAACGTCGAATTCGGGCTTGGTAGTTAATATCATTTCATTATACTACATTATCCCCTTCCTGACATGCAATAGCGAGCATTACTCTGTGAAATAAAAAAGCCCATGACTGGGTCCTTTTCCCGAGCGTAATAAAATTAATGCCCAAGAAAGACGTAATCTGTCGACGTAAAAGTAAAATACGAGTAGGCAACGAGTAATTTCTTAAAATATACCAAAGCAATGGGGACTTTATCGAACATAAAGTAATAAATGTGCGTTATAGCGTCCAAGCACGAACAGTCGATAACGAGGCCTGTATTGCCGACTGATACAGTCCGGTAATGTAAGGCGAAACACTGACATACCCTACGCACACTTCTTTTTTATACGTCGTTGCGTCTTCCTCTTCCTTTTTTCCGACTCGGTCGACGATTCGCCGTTCTTTTCCCCGAGTACACTTGGTGATAAACAGCTTTTCTGTATTTCTGAGCTTTCTCGGGATTTTCTCACACCTACAGAAATATCCGCTGAAATGTGTTCATTTCCTTTTATATTCCAGAAATCGAAATGTTTTCATAAATGTGTTATTCACCAATGCATCTCAATCCTAGTTCCACATAAAAATAAGGTCTACATTTTCTATTGAGTTCAGCGACTCCAAAAAACGATCATGCGTCCAACGCAAAACTTCCTAATTCCCACAAATCGAAACAATTTCAACCAAAATTTGATCATTAGCGATGTACAGGAACGACAAAAAACGCCGTTACCAAACTTCCTTATGGTCTAGAACGTAAATCATCTATATCCTCTCATTTTTATGGATAATAATGTATGCGTTCAATTTCGAAAGCAATTTTTTCAAGATTAATATCAAGGATACAGTTTTCAAATGTAAACTTATCAGGGTGTGCCAAATTCCACCAAATTTTATGGCCATCGTCACCTTAGGTCATTTTAAACTTTTGTATTTATTTTGCTTTACAAAAATTAGGAAATTTTGCGAGGTAAACAAATTTGAGGACGAAAGCGAGCAAGAAAATTCAAGGTGTGTCGTGAATTATTTCATACCGGTGGGCAATGTCTGATGAACATCACGCCTCCATAAATTCATGTTAATATCAATTGTCAAGCTGAAACGATCATAAAGAAAGAAAAAATCAACAGGAATGTCTGTTTTCGGGTTTCATCGGTACATTACCGCTGCGTGCTAATTACCTCTCCTGTAAAAAGAAAGAAAAAATGAAAAAGCAGCCAGACACAAACATTACGGTATTAATAAAATTTCGTGCAGTGAACGTTCCCTTAATTACGCTTATGTACCCATTATGTACCCAAATAAAAACACAATTTATAAAAAGATAATTGAAATACTTTGAGTTGAAAAATCCTGATTATAAAATAATCATCTCCCATCGCCCATAAAATTCAGAGTGAATAACATCATTATAATAACCGGCTCCGAAAATCGCCATATTTTCATGTTTATCGCCAAAATTTTAATACTGTGGAAAAATATTCCCATTCAATGACCATCTTTAAGTAGTCAACCATTTATTATACCTCAAGTTCATGACACTAAATTAACCGGTTTTTGCCATTTTATATACCCCTCAGCCGTCGAAAAATGTCCCAACTTCTTCTATAAGAGCAAGAACAAAAAGCGGCAGATAGAAATCAGCGGCTTAGGGTTAGTACTTAAAACTTTCCCTTCTTATCACCTGCACATCTGGTGAAAAAAGCCACGATGAAAAGCCCCTAATCGGGTTTGCTACGTTCGACGAAAATTATTAATAAATGAAGCCGGTGTTTAAGTTGACTTCTGTTCGGAGAATTAGATGGAAAAGAGGACATGGAATCACGTCACAACAACGTTTCGATTTCTTTACGGGTGAGTTTGTTCCGAATGGGAATCGGATTAACAGAATGGCAGATGTTTAAATGGCGGCCATAAGTTAGAAGAGAGTGGATGTTG